CCGTTGGGGGCGGGGTGTGTGGCCTTATGACACACTTCCGGTGATGTCAGGGGGTGTGGCATATGCTAATGAGTTATGCTAATGAGTTCCCCTAGCTCTTTTTCTACGAAACGACCCCTGGGCCACACAAATGATTTAGTACATATCTGTGTATCTGCACCTTGAGCCGATGCCATTTAAACGCATTCCATGCTAAAACTGCTTTCCTGAACGTGATGCATCTGCATATGGAAATGTGCTTTCAGTTAATACCAACACTGGCTGCCCTTGAAAATGTTTGTTTGCTTATTTATTTATTTATAGACTTATACCCCTCCACTCCCCTGGGTCACAGGGCCTGGGGAGGTTCACAACATTCAATATAACAATCTATAAATAGAGATAACATATACTTGCAAAAAACATTACATTACAATCCATAAAATAACACCTTAGCTCAGGTATCAGAATCATTTGGCACCCAACAACCAACACCACAGAATGTTGTCCAAACAAACAAACCAACATACCGCTGCGCTTTGCTTCAGCTATTGCAAGAGGCAAGGAGCAAAGGGGCTCCAGTGCGAGTTCTGCTATTGCGCCCAGGATTTTACACCTCTTGCATGAGGGTCTCAGCGAATCAGATGTGGAGCAGAAAGGGAGCATGGAAGGACAGGGCCAGTGAGTGATGCAACATGGGAAATCCAAACCTGCCCAGGCCAAGAGAACCAAGACTCCCCCCCCCGCAACTACACAATGCTGCAATGTGAGAGTTCCCTTTAAAAAAAGTTAGAGTCAAGTGCTGAGACCCACAGGTGAAACAGAACTAAGGCTGAGGTCAGATGACAGACTTTGCACGGTCTGGCCATGCCTCTAATTTATCTGGTGCTATTTGTCCTGGAGAATTTCGTTCAAACATACCTTACCCTCACCGCATGCTCACCCCATGGTGGACTGTTCAGATTATTGCTGTGGCGGGCACTTCGGTGGCATTTTTGTTTGTTTTTCATGTGCGTGCATAAGCACGTAGCTGAAGCACTGGCTCCTTTTTGACAGCTCCGCAAACCCTCCGCCAAGTACTGTGATCATTGGTTCCTATACAACTCTATTTCTCCACCAGAAATCACTCCCTTTCCCACCTGATCTTATTCCCTTTCCCACTCATTTCATAGTTTCCCCTTTCCCTCTCCCCACAGAGCTTTCTCGTCAGAGCAATATTATGAAGCGGATTGGAGTTAAATTCTGGGGGCTGAGTCCCAACCGAAGAGTCGTTTTTCTTACATTTGTTGCTCTAAAACCAACCCTCTCATAGGTGCCCAATCACATCAAAATACTGCCACCAAGAAGCATGCAAGTGGTGATTCAAATCCCTTGCATGACAATCCGATGATGCGCACATCGCTCACTGATATTTTTTAAAAGGAGCGAAAACAGACGGGAAGGTTTCAACTTCCCAAACAGCTTGAGGTTGCAATGCGGAGTTCAGACATCTGGAAATGTTATGATGCGCACATCGCTCACTGATATTTTTTTAAAAGAAGCGAAAACAGACGGGAAGATTGCAATGCAGAGTCCAGACATCTGGAAATGTGGGGTGAAACCAGCTACATCTGTAAAAGCCAGACTTTCTCCGAGGTTGAAAACCTCACAATCCGAGTGGGGTGGGGCCCCAACAACTGTGGAATGGGATACTGACAATGCTGTTTGAATGAGCAGTTTAAATCCGAGGGGTACCCGCAACGACATTAGATCAAACAGCTCATCTGATTGCAGCCTAAATACTCCAATTAAGGACGGAATGTTTATTAGCTGGAATCAATGCAAGTGCTGGTACGGCAATGATCTCTTGCTGTTAACTGCAAGACCAGGTTGTTAAAGGTAAAGTGAGAATGTGCCCTTCCCCAGGAAGCCCTTTATGCATTATCTGGGCTCTGCCATGAGGACAGCATGCCTAGTGGACAGCATAAAGAAGTACCAGGCTGCTTTGCACACACTCGTTCCATTCAGGCAATTGACCTTGTCCGATTACCCCTAAATTCTCCTGTTTAAATGGAAGACATGCATTACAATTGCTTACCCATAAGGCAGTTTTCTGAGGACGTAATACGCTGTATACGAATGCTGATACTCCTGCAGAACGAAATTAAAATGAGGACAAATGGATTAGCAGGGTACAAGAGTCAGCAAGTCTCTTATCACTACAAAATTAGCATGCAAGGAAAAGAGAGAGAAAGAAAGATCTTTGTTCAGGTGCTTGTTTTGTATTTTGTATTGCATTTGTAAGGGGGGGTGGGAGATATTAAAAACCAATTTTGTTCTGTCACAGAGAGGAAAAGTGAATGAATGCATCGTGCCTTGTTGTGTATTCTTCCCACCTCGCACCTTATTACAACGTTTGGCAAGTCCTGCACCTCCAGATGCTCCGTGTCATTGCTATGGATACCAGGCCTTTGATTATACTCGGGGCATTTGCTCCCAGCAACAGCTAAATTTGGAACAACCATTAATGAGGACACCTTGGACCGCCAGAGATAGGGTGCAGCGCTATAACTAGACATGAGGGGGAAACAGTCCATCACACTGTTCTATCACAGGCATCGTGTTTCCTAGCACCATGAAGAAAGTCGCAGTGCCCTTTACCAGGACTGGGGGGGGGGAGGCCGATCCCAAGGCTTGATTTTGCTAGTTTGTTATCAAGGACTCTCATTGACAGCAACAAAGCACTAACCTGTGACCCAAGAAGTCTAATTCTGAAAGTTCTGCAAGAAAATTAAGACAAAGGGATTCGCAAGAAAAAAAAGTGACGCCGCTGCTTCTCACTAACTTCCTCAAGGGGTAAAAGGGGAACGTCCTTCAAAACCCTTTACTGCATTAAAACGAAAGGATCTCAACAAAGGCTTTCCACTGAAAAGACAACCAAACCACTAACGGTCATCGGAATTCTTATATTTCTTATCTTCCAGTGTACTCTGAGGACGTATCTATGCCATAGACTTAAACTGTTTTAATAGTCATTGCCTCTTCCAAGGGGGACTCTAGGAAGTGTAGTTCTTGGCAGGGGACTAGAGTTTATTAACAGAGCATTCTCAGCATCTGTACCAAACTACGATTCCCTGGATTCTTTGGAAAAAGCCACATTAGTATAAAACGGGTTTAGGTTTCCTTGGCTGCATGGTGTGCATATATAAAGAAAGAAAAGGAAAGAAATGGCAGTTCTGGATTTCAAAGATCTTCTTGACCAACCAAGCAGAATTATATGTTTAATAGCCACCATGTCAAGATATCTCCAGGACCAGGCAGGGAGCCCTATCCCAGTCAATGCCCCCCATTTACTATGGCTAGACCCCCACAGTGGGCTGCCCTGAGCGGTCCAACAGGCCATCCCTGAACTGCAGGTACCCAACTCGATGACAGTGGAAGCTGGCACACTTCCCATGGCTAAACTGGCTGGTTGGGGGGGGGGTTGGCTGGAAGACGGAACTGTGTCAATTGTGTCTCTGCAGCCCAGCTGAAATGCACTGGCAGGCCAATGAGAGCCCAACCCAGCCGGGGAGCTGATAGGCTAGGAGGGGGAAAGGGGGTGGGGTCCCAGCTGGAGTTGGAAGAAGCCTCCAAGGGCCTCCAAGGGCTGATTGGCCAAAGAAATAGGGGGAGGAGCATGTAAAGGCTATTTAAACCCTCTCGTCATCACGCCAAGGAGCAGGTGGCTGGTCCTGTCTCACAGCTGGAACAGAGGGAGGGCTGGAAGGGATACGCACCCTGAGGGGAGGAGGGTGACCCGGGTGAGCACAACTCTCTTCCCAGCTGAGGCCTGAGGGACCTGGAGGCTGAGACCCATCTGGGAACCAGGAGAAGACACTGGCTACTGGGGTCTACTCCTCCCCTTCTCCACACTGGTACCCCACTCAGCCTTGCCAAGCCACATTTCTATGGCCACCCTTCCCTGAGGCAATTCAACATGGGTCAAGCCCAGGGGTCATTTCCTGCAGGAGCGCACAGGAGTGAAGCTCCAGCAGTAAAATCTATCTATCTATCTATCTGTCTGTCTGTCTGTCTGTCTGTCTGTCTGTCTGTCTGTCTGTCTGTCTGTCTGTCTGTCTGTCTGTCTGTCTGTCTGTCTGTCTGTCTGTCTGTCTGTCTGTCTGTCTGTCTGTCTGTCTGTCTGTCTGTCTGTCTGTCTGTCTGTCTGTCTGTCTGTCTGTCTGTCTGTCTGTCTGTCTGTCTGTCTGTCTGTCTGTCTGTCTGTCTGTCTGTCTGTCTGTCTGTCTGTCTGTCTGTCTGTCTGTCTGTCTGTCTGTCTGTCTGTCTGTCTGTCTGTCTGTCTGTCTGTCTGTCTGTCTGTCTGTCTGTCTGTCTGTCTGTCTGTCTGTCTGTCTGTCTGTCTGTCTGTCTGTCTGTCTGTCTGTCTGTCTGTCTGTCTGTCTGTCTGTCTGTCTGTCTGTCTGTCTGTCTGTCTGTCTGTCTGTCTGTCTGTCTGTCTGTCTGTCTGTCTGTCTGTCTGTCTGTCTGTCTGTCTGTCTGTCTGTCTGTCTGTCTGTCTGTCTGTCTGTCTGTCTGTCTGTCTGTCTGTCTGTCTGTCTGTCTGTCTATCTATGTATCTATGTATCTATCATCTATCTATCATCTATCTATCATCTATCTATCATCTATCTATTCATATTTATAGGCCGCCCTTCCCGCAAGCAGTCTCAGGACGGGTAACAGCATTTCATTTGCACAAAATATATTTGATTAATACAGTAAAAATTAAAATTAAAGACATCATCATAAATACTAACATGGTGGTCACTTGCTGATAGCAAAAGAAATTTTCCGTTTGTGGGAAGTTCCTGGCCTGTGATGAAAAATAAATACTGGCCAGCAGTGGCCAAGTAGAAGCCTCAGGGAGGCCGTACAGGGACGCCCGCTGCCTCAGCCAAAAGCCAGGCGGAACGGCTCCATCTTGCAAGCAGTGTTCCCTCTAAGCTGAGTTAGTGTGAGCTATCTCACAGTTTTTTAGCCTCCAGCTCACACATTTTTTGTCTCAGCTCAGGAAGGATGGCTCCAGAACACACTAATTTACGCAGTAGCCAAATCACCTGCTCACAACTTTAATGCCGGTAGCTCACAAAGTAGAATTTTTGCTCACAGGACTCTACAGCTTAGAGGGAACATTGCGTTGCAAGCCCTGCAGAATTGAAGATGTCTGTACCCATTTAGAAGGAAGTGAGCGAAACTCTGACCAGTGTCCCAGAAATGGTGCCACTTCTCTCCCATGGAGATGCTTATTCTGGCACTATTCTTCTCACATATCTTTGGACACAGATATGGGCAAACCCTGAAAGTGGATTGCCTGGCAACATTCATATATCTTAAGCGAGTACAAACAAAAACAACTGTAGGATTTGTTGCTCCCGTCTGCACTGCCCCTGAAATGGCTGTTCTGAGATCTCTTTGATATGGAAATCAAGATGAAAAATGGTGTCAACATCTCAAAAGAAAATTGCTCAGGGGGCATTCATATGTCGCAATGCAAATTTCCTGCTTTTGCATTTAAAATGAATTTGTATTATTCTCTTATTTACCCTCAGAGATTTGACACGGGAATTGAGAAAAGACAGCAGGAAAAAAAAATACCGCAAACCCCATGCAGCCTGGAAACAAGGAGCCTTTGTTTTGGGGTTTCGGGCCCCTTGGAGGGGAGACCTACAGGGCTCCACATGGTGGCAGCGTGAACTGATATTTACTTTTCAGCCCTCTCCCCATGGGACTAAGGGAGGGGGCCTCAGTGCTGGCACATACTTGGCATGCAGAAGGCCCCAGGTTCAATCCCTGGCAATCTCCCATTAAACAGATGCTAGAAGAGAGCATTCTTTGCCTGAGATCTGGGAGAGCTACTGACAGCGTGGGTACATGAGACTCAGACAGACAGACCAAAGGGTCTTCCACACCAGTTTTCTGCCCTGAATTCATTCGGGAGGTGGTCGTTCCGCTCTATTCTGCTATGGTCAGGCCTCACCTGGAGTTCTGTGTCCAGTTTTGGGCACCACATTTTAGGAAGGATGTTGACAAACTCGAGCGTGTCCAGAAGAGGGCAACCAGGATGGTGAGAGGGTTGGAATCCAAGTCTTACGAGGAAAGGCTGAAAGAGCTGGGTATGTTTAGCCTGGGAAAGAGAAGGCTTAGAGGGGACATGATTGCAGTCTTCATGTATCTGAAGGGCTGTCATGTAGAAGATGGAGCAGATCTGTTCTCTCTTGCTCCGGATTGCCAGACTAGATCTAATGAGTGGAAATTACAAGGGAGTCATTACCAGCTAAATATCAGGAGAAACTTCCTAACTGTAAGAGTGGTTGAGCAGTGGAACAGACTGCCTGGGGAGGTGGTGGATGCTCCTTCGCTGGACGTGTTCAAGCGGAGGCTGGATGACCATCTTTCGAGTACATTGTAGGGCTATCTTTCAGCTATGCTCCTGCAGAGTACAGGGGGTTGGACTAGATGACCTCCAAGGTCCTTTCCAACTCTAACATTCTATGATTCTATGATTCTGTCCCGTAGCCAGGAATTTTTAGCCTGGAGATCAGTTGTAATTCTGGGGGATCTCCAGCCCTAACCTGGAGGATGGCAACCCTCAGATCTTGTTCCCTCTGATATTTGTTGATTTGATTAAACTGACTATCTAGTTCCAGGTTTCGGCTCACTATTATTTCCCTCTCTCACACACACAAAAGATATACCACTGGGAAAGATCCAAAGCAGCTTATCACGTTTTAATATATTTTGGCTTCTTGGTTGCCGAGCGCTTTGCGGCTGGATCAACTACCCGCAAATGCCTCAGTTTCGTAAAATTGAACTATAAGCGATGTTTTGTTTTTAAACCACACCAGACAGGCACAATTTGAAAACCTGGTCTTGACCCACAGACTTAACTGGCTCAGGTTGGCCTCCAAGTTCCTCGGCTAGGAGGGGAAAGATCCATATTTGGAGGCAGTAAAAAATCTCTGAGCCCCGGTGTCAGGGCACAACATCAGGGGATGGCTTTGGCACTCCAGAGAAACGGTTTGGCAGATGGACCACGGGTCTGATCCAGCAGGGCTCTCCTTATGTTTTTGTATTCTAACCCCTTCCTCTTCACCTGCCACTCTGGGAGA